CTCAGGGATCTGGGTTTGCCTTTTTTCACCCCCATGCCCTATCTGTCTAAATTACATATGAACACCTGGGAGAGATGGGAAAGTTCTTCTTCAAAGTTCATATCTTTGACTACATTAAAAGGAGTCACAATCTCTTGCTCTATGGCTATTATCTGCTATTAGCATAAACATGTATATACATTCTCTATTTCAGCTACCTTGACTCGCTCCGGCATGTCTGAACAGAACTGGGCAAGCTCCAAACCATCGTGCGTGCATTCCTTATTTGGAAACCCTCCTGACCTTCTCCTGACTAGCTTCCTCTTCGTCCTCGTCTTCTTCCTCATCTTCTTTCCCCCTTATCTATTCAGGACATTTCCAAGTTTTTAGCTAATCGAATCAAACATAGAATGTGAGGTCTCATTCTGGCCAGTGGAAACTGGACACAGCAGTAGGGCAATTGTGTCAGGTTGTGAAAATTATAACTGTCCCCGTCTCCCTTGTTCAGGTGTGTTCTTGTAGCAAGACTGCCGGCAAGTTGCACCCTTCCTGTAGGAAGTAAACTAGCCTTGCTGAGTGATCCATTGTCTCGGTGGGGATTTTCCTGGCATTATAAACCCGTTTCCAACAACACCCATGCGTGCTCACTGAGTCATGGTAGTTATCAGCATGAACTCTGAGTGGACTGCAGAGATTCAAAGTTCTGGCTCCATCACCAGTTAGTTGTGTTATTTCCTTGGGTAGTTTCCTTGAGCTCTATATGATTTAATTTTCTCCTTTATCAGATGGCAATAACAAAATAGTACCTACCGCACATGGCTGTGTGAGAGTTAAATGAGATCATCCACAGCAAAATGTCCAGCACAGCAGCTGGCACCTGGTAAGAGTGAGCACCCAATAATGTCGGCTGCGATTGATGATCTGTCCTCCTGCAACTGTTTTAAGAAGGTGTATAAGGCAGATGGCTCTGACACTGTCTACCCAGCACCCCTCTACATGGTGGTAGAAGGAGCTGCCTTTCATCTGCAGGATGCCTGACCATGTCCATCTGACCCTGAAAAGGGCCCCTGGCCCAAGCCTGGCCTCTAGGAGTTCTCCCCTGGAACTCGGGAGCAGCCTTTTTCTAGTGTGGGGGCTCCATCCCAGCTGCAGTTGGCAGCCACGCTTCTGCTTCTGAGGACACACGTGCAGAAAAGGAGATGAGAGCTGAGGAGAGGCCTGGGCTTCTGGGCCCTGCTGTGGCTATTCCTGGGGCTCAGCTGTACTTATGGTGCCCATGGGGGCTGCTCAACCGACTCTTCCCATAATCTATGAGCAGGAACCTCCTCTGTGGAGCAAGCTACTTTGAGCACCAACTGCAACTAAAAGGGTCCCAACAGAGGCAGTGTGTCCTGTTGACAGCCAAGAGCTGTGCTGGACAGAATCAACCTACTAACATACAATTGTTTAAAAAAGAGATGACAATGAGGAGCAGCAGGTGAGAAACACTGATGGATGCTCACCTTGCGCCAGGCACTGTGCTGAGGGCTCTACTTGTATTGTCTCATTTGATCCTGACAGCCACACCATGTGGTGGGTGCCATATTTATCCCCATTTTACGAATGAGAAAGTTGAGACTCAAGACACTCCAAAGAGTCTTCCTAAGGCCTCTCAATTAGTTTAGTGGGCATCATTGTTTACTCCTAATAGCCCTTCCATCCCAAGTGATGAAACAAAGCCAATGAATGTATAGCTGCCCCTAGTACATGTTATTAGACCAGGAATGGGAGCAAGTCTTATACCAGCCCAGCCAGACTGGAGAGGAGAATGTATTTTCCATGGTTGCATTTTCTGCCTCTCCTGGGGGGAACCAGCCATAGAAAGAAGATGATACTAAATGTAAGAGGAAGTTGACATGCTGAAGTTGGCAAAATGGTGGAGTTGTCAAGTAAAGTACAGAATGTCCAGTTAAATTTGAATTTTAGATAAACAATGAATAACACTTTAGTATAACCTTATCCCCCAAATCGCATGGAACACACTTTCGTATTTAAAAAGAATACAATTTTCTACATTCCTATCTGAAATTCAAACGTACCTGGGTGCCCTGTATTTTCCCTTGCTAAATTTGGCACAGTGGAGAGAACGAGTACGTGATGACTTCATGAAGCCACAGCCCATCAAGTACCTAAAGCCCACATGACCTCCGATCTGGCTGTGTGAGGTAGTTAATTCGTTTATGGTTCAAGCAGTTTAGAACTGTTGTCACTTGCGCTGAAGCATCCATTTCATGCAGCAATCACTGATTCCAACTCAGACAGAAAGGCTGCAGAGCCCAAGCTCCCACCACAGTCTCAATCCTAAAGGGACAGAAACTTAATGCCATATGAAAAGCTACAAAGCCAATGTTTAGGGCGTTGAACTTGTATTTTTAGAGCTGTAAGACTACAGCTTAACAGACTTACTGGGATTCATCAGACTCTCCTCAGATGACATACATTTTTTATTATAAAGTTGTAGAATGTGAATTCCCTTAAAACTCCTTCATGAATACTAACAAACTCTAAAATAGCAGCAAAAGTGCTGCTTATAACCACTGAAACCACAAAACCCAAAACACCTGGCAATTCAGAATTAAGAACTCCAATTTTCAAACATTAAAGATAAATTTCTACATTTTATTTAGAAAAAAACGTGAATGTGCACCACGGAAAAATGTGACTTTAGATCAAACCTGGAGCATTATAAAATAATCCTGTAAGATAGGAAGGGAGTATATAAGTAAGCACACTGAATGAAAGAATGAATGAATGGGTACTCATAGGACTGAGTTGCTCTCTGAGGATAAATGTGTGTGTGTTGGGTATACTGTTCACCAGTATAAAAAAATCTCAAGGTAATGTCCCCAAGGAATCAAGGAATTTACATGTGGTTCTGGTACACCAACAATGAACAGAAGCAGGATGCTGGGTTAGCCATTACAGCTGGGAAAAGAGGAAATCACTCCTGGGTTGCTCTCTGCATCCACCCATTTCAAAGTCCTGCTCAGGCACAGAGGCTTCCCTATAATGGGAAACATACAGCATTAACATCCCATCATCTGGACTCCCTTCAAGTCCATAAAAAGCTTCATTTAGGGCATGTCAGTACAGAAAACTATAAAGTTAAGGGAAGTTCTAACAAAGGTATATATGAAAATAACTTGCTCTCTCATTCTTTCTCTCATAAATACATGTATAACAGAGAGTGACTCAGTGGTTCCAACCCATGCAGGAAGGCTGCAGAGCCCAAGCTCCCACCATCACAGTCTCAATCCTAAAGGGACAGAAACTTAATGTCGTTTTAAATGCTACAAAGCCAATGTTTAGGTCATTGAACTTGTATTTTTAGAGCTGAAAGAATGCAGCTTAACAGACTTACTGGAATACATCAGATTCTCCTTAGTCAATGTAAATTTTTTAAATTATAAAGCCACAGAACCTATCTATCTATGAGAGAGACACCAAATTAATCTATAAATTTAACAAAACCCCAATCAGAATACCAATAGGATTTGTGTGGGAGAGATCAGAGGAGAACTTGATCAAATGGTTCTAGGTTTTATCTGAGAAAAGTAACAAATAAGAAACTTCTGAAAAGGAAGAGCAAAGTGAAGGAGATTAACTCAAGAAGATATTCAAAGTATTATAAAGCAAAACAATAAGAATAATGTAGTAGAACCCCAGGACTTTTCAGGAAGCTCAAAGGAACAGAAGAGAGAGTCAAGAGACAGATCCACATAAGGATTTGATGACAAAAATGTGCATCTAAAACCATTGGTTTGGTTAATAAACAGTGTTGGCCATCATGCAGGAGAAAAGAAAGCAAAGGCATGTGAATTGTGACGGAAGGTAGCTTTTAAGAATGTGAAGTGGCAAAACCTGTTAAACAGAATAGTATGCACCCACAGAATGGCATGTTTCCACCAAATGTTATGTATCTACAGAATGTGACACCCACTAAACATTATGTCCCCATAGAATGGTATTTACCCACCAAATGGTATCACCCGCTGAACAGTATGCATCCACCAAATGGTATGCACCCACAGAACACCATGTACCCACAGAACGGCAGGCACCCACAGAATGACATGTACCCACTGAATGGTATGCACCTACTGAACCATATGCATCTGCTGAACAGCATGCACCCACAGAACAGCAGGCACCCACAGAACAACATGTACCCACTGAATGGTATGCACCTACTGAGCCATAAGCATCCACTGAACAGTATGCATCCACAGAACGGTATGCACCCACAGAATGGTATGCACTCAATGAACAACATGCACCCATCAAACAGTATACACCCACTGAATGGTATGTACCTACTGAACTATATGCACCCACTTAACAGTATGTACCCGCAGAATGGTACGTACCCACTGAATAATGTGTACCCATAAAACAGCATGCACCCTCCAAATGGTATGCACCCATAGAATGGTATGTACCCACAAAATGGTATGCACTCACTGAATGGTATGTGCCCACTGAACAGTATGCATCCACAGAATGGTATGTACTCACAAAACAGCATGCACCCACCGAATGGTATGCACCCATAGAACAGCATACAGGCACAGAATGGTATCCACCCACCAAATGGTATGTGCCCACTGAATGGTGTGCACTCACCCACTCAACAGTATGTACCCACTGAGCAGTAGGCACCCACCAAATGGTATATATATGCCCACAGCATGTGCCCACTGAATGGCAGGTAGCTCAAGTGCTGTGACCATGTGCCCTCAACTCTATATCTCATCACAATTCCAACAAGAAAGGGAATGCAGTCAACTGCTGTACCTCCTCCATCCAGACTTCACTGAGTTTCCTTCACTCCCAATTTCTCTTTGCAATCTCTACCCACTCCTCCCAATAACAGAAAGAATTCCAGGAAATTAAAGGAAATTCTCTACATTTTGAGATTCCCTGATCCTCCCAATTGTGGCAAGGTATCAATAAAACAATCTGAGATCAGAAATAAGTGTTACCTGTTTCCTTTTTTCAGGAGGAAGTGATGGATCGCCATCCTGCAAAGAAACAAATGCTACATTTTACTCTTTTAAAAAAATAGATGTATTTAGAAACAAGAGGTTGACTAAATTATGAACTTAAATGTAGATTCTCCCCACCCTCTCCACCCTGCAGCCAGTAATGTACTGAAGCAAGCTCAAATATACTTAAAAAAATTAACTACAAACTGAACCAGAGTTATTTTGGAAAAACCTCTAGGGAATCAGTTCCCATTAGGACCAAATCTATATATTTTCTAAAATTATTTGAATAAAAAAACTGGATTTGTCAAAATTATTTTTGATCAGAGCCTAAGCTAAAATAATATTTCATTTGGTTTGAGTTCCTCTTTTAAATAGTTAGAACCAAAGGAACAGTGATGGGGACACACATACACACAGATAGATACACACACAGAAAGAGAGAGAGAGAGAGACAGAGACAGAGACAGAGAGAGAGACAGAGAGAGACAGATTTCTATATGGGCAGAACAATCAGTGTTGGGAGGGACAGTATTTGCTCAAAGTTAAGAGGACACTGAGAATTTCTAGTTCTATTAGGTTTTTTTGTTTGTTTGTTTGCCTTAAAAGGATTCAGGCCAGGTGTGGTGGTTCACGCCTGTAATCTCTGTAATTTGGGAAGCTGAGGCGGGCAGATTACCTGAGGTCAGGAGTTCAAGACTAGCTGGGCCAACATGTTGAAACCCATCTCCACTAAAAAAAATACAAAAATTAGCCAGGCGTGGTGGCAGGTGCCTGTAATCCCAGCTACTAGGGAGGCTGAGGCAGGAGAATCACTTGGACACAGGAGGCAGAGGTTGCAGTGAGCACTCAAACCACTGCACTCCAGCCTGGGCAATAGAGGGAGACTCTAGTCTCAAAAAAAAAAAAGATTAAGTTCCTCTCCCATTTGTGCCACATCTGGGAATACACATATCTCAGGTGAATAAGCAAATGCTCACTAAATGAGCACTCTTATATCTGACGTGGCCCACACATAAGTCAACATGATTTTAACCTGAGGAATCTATTCTATGCTATTTCTACTCGAGGGCAGTTTAATAATGCCAACACAGATAGTTAAATGTCAGTAACGGTGTCTCACTTAGAAAAGAGACTGCCTCAAAAGCAGCAAGAATGAAAACTAGTATTATGCTATTGGCATTCTCCATTTCAGTATCATTTGCATCTTAAAAGTTTTGCCATGTGGGTGAAGGGGAGAAGGAAAGCAAAGCACACTGCCATGTGTGTGCCTACGTAACTGTCTTGCATGCTCTGCTCATGTACCCCAAAACCTAAAATCCAATAAAAAATAAAATAATAAAAATTAAAAAAAATTAAAAAAAAGTTTTGCCATACAAAAACTTAGAGAAAAACAAAAGTCCAGAATATAAGAAAGGTTACAAAAATTATGGATATGTCCATACTATGGATTACCATGTAGCTATTAAAAGATTGAGTTAAATCTGCCTGCCTTGAAATCTGGATGATTCAAATCTGGGTGAGTTGGATCTGTATACATAGAAACATGTCCGAAATAAAATGCTAAGGGAAAACAAACAGCATGTTTGATTATTTTTTTTAAATAAATTTGGAACTTATTTTATTTCCCATGAACTTTTTATTTATTTATTTATTTTTGAGGGGTTCTTTATTGCTCAGCTTGTTCTCAAACTCCTGGGCTCAAGCAATCCTCTGGTCTCAGCCTCTCAAAGTAGTTGGGATTACAGGTGTGTCACTGCATCTGGCCTAATAGAGCTCTCTGCAATGATGGCAGTGTTCTCTAACCACACTGTCCAATATAGTAGCCATTAGTCACCTGAGCCCATGAAATATGACATTGAGATGGAAGAATGGAGCCTCTTATTTTACTGAATTCTAATTAATTTAAAATTAAGCAGCCAGCTATAGCTAATGGCCTCTGTATTGCTGCAGACTTACGAATCCTTTTTAAATAACTCCATATAATTAAATTAACAAGTAAACAGCCACACATACAGTAGTCCCTATTTATCCTCAGTTTCAGATACCTGAAGTCAACCGTGGTCCAAACATGTTAACTAGAAAATTTCAAAAATAAATGATTTATAAATTTGAAATTGTATGCTGTTCTGAGTCGTGTGATGAAATCTTGCACCATTTCCCTCCATCCCACTTGGGATGTGAATCACCCCTTTATCCAGGGTATCCATGATGTCTATGTGGCCCACTTGCTAGTCACTGAGGAGCTGGTTTGGCTAACAGATTAAACAACAGTATATACAGGGTTTCGTACTATCTGTGGTTTCAGGCATCCACTGCGGGTCTTGAAACATGTCTCCCTTGGATAAAGGGGGAGCCTACTGCAAACACACACATATATATTCACAGGTGGCAGAGCAAGAAGCACACACACACACAACCATACACATGTGAGAGAGAGAGAGAGAGACAGATTAACTTATGAGTGGGACTGAGTTGTAAAGGAAATAGGGTGGTGACTTTCACTTTTAAATGTTTCCACTTTCAACTGTTTGCAATTAACCATTTCTAAAGAAACAGCATGTGAAAATCTCTTTATATTTTAATTTGGGGAACAGGCAGGGCAGCCTAACACCTACGATCAGCTCTCGGTACTTCTTCTTCAGTGACTGGTGGCGCTCCCGGAGCTGATTGGCCATGAGTTTGTACTGGTCCCTCTCCTGCTGACAGGTGTCCAGCTCCTTGGAGAGGATCAGCAGGGCCTCCTTCTTGCTCTCCAACTTCCTCTTACACACCAGGTACTGCAAAGCAAAAAAATTCAGGTAACTGGTCAAAAATATCCACCGGCCTCCAATTAACACACACTGTGCTTCACACACCCTCCGGGGAGATTTTGCCATTCTCATTTTTAGAGCTCACATGCCCAGAGAGACATTTTTCAGCGAATGACATACGTACGTCAAGGCTTCTACAGTGCTAACATGCGGCACCCTCATGACAGAAACTAAACCTTGGACAAATAAGTTAGAAAGCAGAACATTTTAAAAAGTTGCATAAATGTATCAACAGGTAGACAGCTGGACCCCAATTTTGTTTAAAAAGGACTTATATACCCAAATAAGATTATGTAAAAGTTTACTAAGATATTAAATAAAAATTTTATTAAAATGTTGCTAACGGTAATTTCTTGATAGTAAAATTATTTACCCAGGTTTTAAATTTTTTCTTGATGCTTTTCTGTGTTTTCTGTTTCCAGAGTAAATCCATATGGTTTTTTGTTTGTTTTTTGAAATGGAGTCTTGCTCTGTCATCCAGGCTAGAGTGCAGTGGTGTGATCTTGGCTTACTGCAATCTCCACCTCCCAGGTTCAAGCAATTCTCCCACCTCAGCCTTCCAAGTAGCTGGGATTACAGATGTGAACCACCATGCCCGACTAATTTTTGTACTTTTAGTAGAGACGGCCAGGCTCTGTTGGCCAAGCTGGTCTCAAATTCCTGACCTCAGGTGATATGTTCTCCTCACCCTCACAAAGTATTGGGATTACAGGCATGAGCCACCATGCCTGGCCCATATGGCTTTTATTGTAAAAAAAATGCTCCCCAAAAGTATTAAAAATAATCGAACCATAAATTACTGCCATAGATTGCACCTGCCCACCAAACCTAGCAGGTATTTTCTCACTTGCAAATGTGTCCACTAACAGGCTCCTGATGTGTTTAACTTTTCCTATGATTCAAATGGAGGCACTCTCCTCATCGAGAGACTAATCTTAAGAGCAAAGTATTTTAGTCACATTTTGAATTCTCCCAAAGCAGTTGAGTACACTCAGTTGGAACCCTTGCCTCAGAGTGACAAGATTTCTCCATCCTTCCTTCTGCTCACTCTCCTGCACCGTGAACCACCCTCTCCTAAGCTTGACCCACCATACTGGCCAGTGTGGGCCTGAATAGGACTCTTCACTTTTTATTGGATATATTGCACCGTCTGGTATTATTCACATATGTGAAATGTGGCACTAAATACCTTTTGAATTTGCCCCGTAAAAGACCAAATTCAGAGCATTCATGAAAACAATTTATAGTTTCATTATACACTCTGACATGAGTACTTTGTCATTATGGACGCTCACACAAAGCGGAGCGAGAATCAGCACTCCCATTCCACTGGAGTCAATGCTCTTTTATGGACAAAAAGCATTACTCATATATAGTGCTTGCTCGGAACTGACTTTGTTAAGTTCAATTTCAAATAAATGAAAGGGGGGAAAAAGAGAGTTTTGTGCATTTGCACAATTTTTTTTCCTAACCAAAAAAAAAAAAAAAAGTAATTGGCTTCAAAAACAAAGGGGAAAGAAAAGGCATTCTGAGACGGATTTAAGTTCTAAAAAAGGACACTTCCACCTTGGATGAATTTTATTCCTGGCAGTAATGAGGTTGGAATTCTGCCTTAAAACGTCCCGGATTTTGAGACATTGACATCGTCTTCATGGAGGCAAAATGGTTCTGTTGCCACAGTGATTTCTCAAGAGTAAAATCCCCAATGAGTAAGTATCAGAGTGGCTCAGAAACCCAAACTGCAGTGTCCTCCGGGACGTATTGAGATTTCACAGGAAAAATACCATTTACACACAATTTAACACATCTGCCCTTGTTCCTTCCGTTCTTTACCATAATCAGCAGCCTGAGTATCAGTGACGCAAAGACAGTCACCTTTATCCCTTCCATTTAGATTCGAACCTGAGGCCCCAAAGACACTCGTGCCTTCCAACGTAGGGGACAAAAATCAAGCACGGAGACATTGGAAGCTGCAGGAGGTAAGTGCCGAGGGAACACCTTGTCTACTGAAGGGGAACAGGTAAGGGCCGCTGCTGACTGCCAAAGTGGAAATTCAAGTTCCCTGACCTTGAACAGCCCTATGTTAGGGTCCAAGAGAAAAGCTGTTTCACTCACAAGGCACAGTCCAAATAGGGCGGTGAAAACTGTGAAGGGCAGTAAAATGTCTCCCTTGCTTCTGGGTCTAAGGTACCTGGTAGAAAACAGGTACAGAGGCATCTGCTGAGACCCATTAGCCTTGGATTTGAAGAGCAGAAGCTCTGTAGGTCCCAACAATTTTACTCCATGTTACTTATTTTTATCAGCAAGACAAACCTTAGGCTGAAGCCTCAATTATAAAGTAGCTCGAAGCAGAGCTCTGGCTGAAGGCGAGACACCGTCCCTGTAGTTCTGTCATACCCTGGCATGATGGTCCTTGGCATCTATAAGGAACCCTAGAAAACACTACTCTCTGCTGGGCATGGTGGCTCACATGTGCAATCCCAGCACTTTGGGAGGCTGAGGTGGGCAGATGACCTGAGATTAGGAGTTCGAGACCAGACTGGCCAAGATGGCGAAACCCTCTCTCTACTAAAAATACAAAATTAGCCAGGCATGGGGGCATGCACCTGTAATCCCAGCTATTTGGGAGGCTGAGGCAGGAGAATCACTTGAACCTGGGAGGTGGAGGTTGCAGTGAGCCAAGATGGTGCCATTGTACCATCTCAGCTGGGCAAAAAGAGCAAAACTCTGTCTCAAAAAAAAAAAATTAGCTGGGCATGGTGGCAGGTGCCTGTAATCCCAGCTATTTGGGAGGCTGAGGCAGGGTAATTGCTTGAACTTGGGAAGCAGAGGTTGCAGTTAGCTGAGATCATGCCCCTGCACTCCAGCCTGGGTGACAGCATGAGACTCCACCTCAAAAAAGAAAAAGAAAACACTGCTCTCTATCACCTGGGATGCTTGTTAAAATGAAGACTCCTGGGCTCCAGCCCAGACCAACTGGATCAGAATCTCGGGTGCCTGATTCAGAAATCTGCATTCTTAGCACATGGTCCAGATGATTCTTATCCAGTCCACACTCTGAAAACTCAGGCTCTGGAAGCCTCAAGCTGCACAGTGTCTCAAAAGTTAGAACCAACTAAAATGGTCCAGAGGGACTGAGAGGCCACAGCCCACGACTTCAGGGGCAAGGAACAGTCTCAGAGCCATTCCAGTGAGTATCTGTGCCACCTCGTAGCTTTTGGTATTCTAAACAAGTACAAAAATGGACTATATTTTACTGCATCTAGCCAAAAATCTTATACAGCCGTGTAGCACATAATGACCCTTTAGTCAATGACAGACTGCATATATGATGGTGGTCCTACCACAGAACGGTGGTGGTACCTTTTCTATGTTTAGATACGTTGAGATATACAAATATGTATCATTGTGGTACAATTGCCTTATATTCAGTACAGTAATGTGCTGTATAAGTCTGTAGCCTGGGAGCAATAGGCTAGGTGTGTAGTAGGCTGTGCCATCTATGTTTGTGTTCACCAATGACAAAATCGCCTAGCAACACACTTCTCTGAAAGCACCCCCATCGTTAAGTGACAGGACTGTATATGCGTCTCATCAAAACAACAACAGAAAACTCTAGGAAGTGGGGAGAAGGGAGTGTTGGAGAATGAGATGAAATTTCTGGGTCTCTTCTAAAAAAGTAAAAGTTTATTCCCTGTAATGATAGCTGTTAAAATGTCCCATTTCTTATCCCTCTGACTGGAAATGAACAACAAAAAGGAGAGAAAAGGATCACGAAGATCCTTCTTAGTGGGCAGCTCTGAAGAACCAGCAAAGAAAGGGCTGGGGCATTAGAAGGAATCAAAATTCGAATGGAAAAGCAGACAGGCTAAGTCACTGAGCTTGGGCCACTTAGGCTTCAGAGGAGGATCAGTAACTGTAGACGGCAGATCCAGCAATGGGCTCATCATGAACTGCAGGTACCTTGTGAAAGCCATAAAGCACAAGGAACCAAAGAGCACATACCACCTGGGCCTCATTTCCACACCTGGAAGATGAGGGGGTTCCCAGGGTGCTCTCCAACTTAAGGAACCCACGATTTCCACACCATTGTCCAATGTCACTGGATATGAAGACTGCAGGGAGGTAAGGGCTCCAGTCCAGAAGATACAACTCGATTCGAGCGCCCACAACTTGCTTTCTCTGCCTTACCTAAGACAGAGCTGGCTCAATGATTTCCAAAGACCATCTGTGGCCAGGGTAGGTCCAGAATCTCTGGCAGCAGGGGCTTGTGGACAGCCACCTGATGGGACAGGGTGCTGGGGCTGAAGCTGTGTTTGTAGAAGCAATTTACAATAGGGGGAGAAAAGGCCAAATGTCTATTGGGTCAACATTCATGGCTCTTGCTAATATTTCTAGTTATCCTTTCCTTCCAGGCATGGGCAGGACTATCCATCCCCGCTGCTTTTGGGTAAGGCAGAAACATGGAATCTGCTTTGCCTGATAAAATGGGATTGGAAGGGATTGAGTTGCTTCCAGGAGGAAGGCACTTGAGAGGGGAGGTGGGAATTGCTGGGCCTCCTCCTCCCCTGCAGCAGCAATGATGGGAGCGCAGGTCACTATGGGAGTGCTGCAGGATAACAGAGCCCGGAGGGCCAAGCACAGCGGACCCCTGCCTAGAGAGCCATTCAGGTCCACAGAGAACTTTATGTGATCCAGAAAAAAAATTTTGGGGTGTCAAGGTACTGAGATTTGAGGGTTTGTTACTGAAGCGTAACTTAACCCATTCTGACTCATATGGTCTATATCAAAGAGTGGGAATGTCTGAGGTGGAGGGAGGCTCTACTTGTCCCTGGGCTGTGTGTCTACTGAGTCACCACACTGAGGACAAGGGTTCATGTGATCACTATTAGCAGTGCTACTGAAGACAAAAAGCAAGGTTTTGTAACACAGGCTTTACCTGTATAATTTCCTTTTATCCTCACAAT